TTGCAGCGGGAAGCTCTTGATCTCTGCTGCTGAAACCGATACGCCTTGCAGGGAACATCAAAAGTGCGTCCTGCAGACACAAAGTCTACACACACACACACGCAGAGGCAGAGCAGGCGTTCGCCGAGAGGAGGAAGATCTGCGTTCCGGTCTCTGTCTCACTTATCAGCTCTTTTATCCGACGACTCTGGCATATAAAAATCTGAATCTGTAGCGAGGAGAAACGCCTCTGGTAAACCAGCATAAAGTGCCACACTTCCAAGAGAGGGATGGGTTAAAAACCTGTATTTCCCTAGCCTCCCTCTGCTGCGTGCCTTCAGGCATCTTCCCACAGGTAGAGCACAGTCCCGTAACAGCTGCTGCAGATTCCCATGTGCGAGGGCATTTACGAGGCACAGAGAACACAACCACTGTTATACCGATGTTATGGCTCCAAGCAGCATTGCTGTGATCTCTGTATCATTTCAGGGGCTATTTTTAAAATGCATATCTGAGTTTTCATGGATTTAGCTACAATTCAGAGCTTTACGATCAGTGTTTATTATAGCAGACTGTTAAAATCATGCAGCACTCTTGGAAAAAGGCATTTCACCACATTAATTCAGACACTTCTGTGCATTGTGGATAGCGATTAACAATTAAACCCTCTTCCAAGCAGACTTAGAAGTTGATTATCTACAGCATCCCTTACACAGAAAGGAAACAAGTCGGCTAAAGAAACCTGAATGAGCAGGGCTGTAATATTCTCCCAGAAGAAAATGACCAGTTTATGGGAGCAGAGTTATTATAGGAGCTCTGAGGGATTTCCCCTTATCTACTTCTTCAAAGAACATGCACCACATTCACAATACAAACCAACGTGTTTTATGTGTATATACATTACGAGCATTTTCCTGCAATAGTAAAATGAGTAAACCCGAGACTTTCAAAGTAATTTTATTGCTCGTTTTATGGATTTTCCTAGCCCTTTGATGAGCTGCCATTGACAGAAGGCAATCTCAGCTTCATGCCTTTGTTGCTACTGCTCGTGGCAACCGCACCCATTTCCAGCCTGGCTGTGGGAACGCCGCACGCCGGGAGTCAGAGCGGGATCTCCCAGCAGGAATCCTCCCAGCGGGGCCCCGAAACCCTTGTAGCAGTGCTGAGACTTCCTTCAGCATCTGCTTTAGCACACTGAGCTCGGGAGAGAGCAAAACGTAACATGAAGAAGGAGCAGAGACAGAAGGCACCAAGGAAGCGGTGGAATTCCAAGGGAATTCCAGGAAATCCAGGATTGCCAATGGCCATAAAATACAGAAGGGATTGCTTTATCTCGTGTCAATAAATAAATAAATAACTTAAGCCAGGCTATATCCAAGTGCCAGAAGAGCTCAATATCCTCCTCCTAACAATATATATGTATATATATAGAGATATATGGATTGTTTACTGCAGGCAAAGGAGAAGCAGTGCAGCAGCTACAAAAGAAACGTAAATCCTATACAGCAAGGCTGGGGAGGGACTCTTTGTCAGGAGGTGCAGGAATAGGACCAGAGGTATCAGCTTTAAGGTAACAGAGGGCAGGTTTAGATTAAATATAAGGAGGAGATGTAAATCTTTACTCAGAGGTGAGGCTCTGGCCCAGGCTGCCCCATCCCTGGTGGTGCCCAAGGCCAGGCTGGATGGGATTTGGGACACCTGGGCTGGAACAGGTCACTTACCACAGTCCGTACAATTCCTGTTCCTGCTGTTGTTTTGGGGAATAACCAAGTGCTCGAGGTAACAAAATCCGTTATTTACAAGTGCTTTCTCAAATGGATATACATAACAACTGTGCTCCACAAAGGACTGCCTGGAAACCCAGCTCGAAGATCATTTTTGCAGACTTGTTCTGCAGAACACCTGCGCAGCAGGCTACGGGCTGGGGGAGGACAACTCGCTCAGCTGCCTAGCTGATTTGACTGAATACCAGTAATGCATTTCTTACTAGTTTTGTGTGCATACATACGTACAAACACTGTGATTTCTCTGGTAAGATAACCAGTAGTAAAGCACGATGACACAGGTGACATCCCCCGAATGCTCCAGCTCAAACCTCACTTTTTCCTGATAAGCTGCAGTGAAAGTTGAAGAAGTTTTGCTAATAGCTGGGACAAGGCACAGACTGGGGTAGTACTTGAAATAAATTCTGTTTGAAATAGTATTTGAAAAAAAGCACTGTGGCTGCTTTTAAGCTATGTTGACTTGGAAGTGTACACACTGCCAAGTTTCAAGTCATACCTTGCATGTGTCCAGACGTGATTTTGCACATTATCAGAACAGTCTCAACCACTGCAGCCTCTCCTGTGGAAGCACCGCAAGAAACCAGCATGGTGTAAGGTTTCTGAAGGCCAATTTTTACCTTTCCAGCTACAACGGATTATTGTAAGCAGCAGCCACTTAATAAACTGATAACGTTCTTCACAACACAGGAAGCTCCTCTCAAAGCCAAAGACAATAGAAAAATAAAGCACAAGGAAAAGTAATTTAAATGTGAATCGTATCATCGCTCCTCTACATGTTAGCACTCACAACAAGGCAGCCCACGATCTTATCTCGTGGTGGTTAACCACAGGCAAGGTTGTAAACATGGATTTAACCAGTTAAGAGTGTATTCCGACAATTCAGAGCACATCTCAATTCCCTTTATTTTGGCAACTCAGTGTATAAGCAAAGATTTCGTTTGCAATTACACACGCTTCTTAAAACTGTTTACCACGTAATTATGTCACCATGGTGGTCAAACTGCACTGACAACTCAAAAAGCCACGTATGCAAGTATATTTTCAATAAATTTATCCCTTCCACCTATCCAGGTATTACAGAGGAAAAATGTGTTATATCCACACAGAGTAAACGAAACCCTCTGCAAAAAGCCTGATGCAAATGGGGCTTTCTGATCACCACAGAAGCAATGCTCTATTCTCAGCAATATTAGAGGAGATGGAAATGCATTTCAAAAACCCACAAACCCTAAAAATAAGTAGCGGGTTAACTGATCTGTGCTTTACAAGATCAAAAGTCCTCAGGGGTACGCAGATTTCCACAACTAAACGTACTCAGGTAGGCTATTAACACAACTGATAAAATCAGAAAAAAAGTCATTTGGAAAGACTATCGTGCCAGAATAAGAGATCTATCAGCACCACATTCCTGAGCAGACATCCAAAGAGAGCCTGCCATATCCTGGACTCTCACCCGGAGCAAGTCTTTGTAACACCCTGACCAAACCTGGTTTGGAAACACCGAGCTGATGGCCAGCCATGGGAGCAACAACCACAGGCACTAATCGCCCACTTGCAGGGTTTATAACAGCTACAGCACAATTCCTCCAATTGGGAAAATTTCAGTACCCGAAGGGACTGAAAGGGACCCTGAGTGCATCCTTCCTAAGACACCCAGGCCTTGAGGTGAATAGCAAAACCGTCTGTGCTTCCTCATCTCTGATCACTTCAGTCAGAGCTGTCCTCAGAAATACCACAAGGCTGCCCAGAGCAGAGAGAGGAGAGCAAACACTTCCTCCTTCTTCTTCACTGCCTAAAATCATCAGCCTCCAAAAGCCCAGGATGACAGTGGGGTACAAACAATGTTCAAAAATACGTCCATGTGCCCAGTGACATTATCAGGACATTTTTTCCAAGACAGAACAACCCTTAAAAACAACATGAAGTGGTCCTGTTACTTCGTGATTCCCTGTACCTTCTGTTGTTGTACTTGTGTAATGATTTTTCAGATCTGACTCTAACAGCTGACCTCTGTTTAAGATCCCATAGCGTAGCTCAAACATTTTATGTTCACTGAAGGCCTCAGAAGGGTTGCTGCCTGCTCTCTGCAGCTTTAAAATGAAGTGAGAACATAGCATCTTTCACGATGAGGGTAGTTTGGTCATTCAGCCTTTGGGGAGACAATATTCCACCCTACAACTGCAATTATTGGAGGCTTAAAAGGTCTTATTTGCAAGAAAATGGTTTGAAAATCCAAGAGCAGCTAGAATATAAAACATACAGAAGGTTCACATTACCCATTATTATTATGATAAGTCTAATGCTCCAGAAAGCTCTAGTCACTTTATATAATTTTTGCATTTTCACTAATTGGCAAAATAGAAGCCAACTGGCCCCAAAAGTCACTTCTTTCCAAAAAAAAAAAAGCTGAAAAGCTACAGGTCAGTTGCCCTTTCTCCCCAGTAATCCCTCAGCAGCTCTCATGCTGCTCTGGTTCCTTCCACTGCCTTTTCTTCTCCCAGGTGGGAGACTGGAAAAGCAACGGGTCCCTCAGAAAAGCCTGTCCTGTTTTTTGGCTGAGCCTGGAGCATCCCTCGGATCAGCTCAGGTACAAGCTCTGGCAGCTGCATGTGTTAAACACGCCTATGTTTACACAGGAAAAGTGCAATGCATTAAAATGATGCAACTTCTGTTACACTGTGCATCTTTGGGCACAAATAATTAAAGGTAAGAAGCCTCTCTTTACCAAAAATCCACAACTGTCTGTTTTTTTTTAAATCTTACCCTACTAGACTGGCGGAGTCACAAATTCCTAGCAGGGAAAAGCAACTCCTGAAGAAAAAAAAAAAAAAAAAAGTATGTCAGCGAAGACCTTTTCTTTCCCTCCATCAATTCTTACTGAAATATTTTTCTATACCTCCGAAACCTGGCTTTGAACTACAGCAAACAATTCCTTCCCGTCAGACAGCGAGCTATTTGTCAAACCACCAGGGCGTTGCTGAAGTCAAGGTGGGTCAGGAAGGGAGTGCAGCCCGCTGCTGCATTCTCGCAGGAGGCTCCCAATAGCTGAGGAATTGCTCCAAGCGAACGGGGAGCAGGTGGAAAGTATAAATCTATTTGGCCCAACGCGTGATTTTTCCTTCTTGCTGCTGCCCCAGCCCACCAGGCAGTGCTCATTGCCACTCCTGCCCCGTGGCACCCACGAGTGACAGCTCACAAGCCACGGGAGGCGAATTCCCAGAGGTGGCTCCTACTCACCCTCGTGTTTCCAGCTCCTGGGGCTTCCAGTCCAAATCTTACAGCACCATCCGGGATGGCAGCTGCTCTGTTACCACACACTGGTCGTATTTTGGTTCTGTGGGAGATAAATAAATGATATCAGACTGATATCAGGATTTTGAAATGCAACCCGCCGAGCTCCTCGGCACCCAGTCTCTTTCAAAAAATTCTTTTCAAAATTTTTTCAAAAAAAAAAAAATATTTCAAAAAGCTGCTTGGTCACAGCCTCGAGGGGGAACACAGAGAAACTGCAGTGGGTGTGAGGACGATGTGCCCTGCCTTCGGATCTCATCTGCACAGATTTGTGGTACCTGGGGTCCAGCACACCCTGCACTCTGACTATTAAAGAGAAAAATAAATCACGCCACGCATATTTTAGTGAAATCAGCTGTATGCTTCAAACCCTTATGACCACAAATCTCTCATAGCACCTGTATGACAGTTCACAGCTCAGCCAGCACCCTCAGCCCGGTACAGAGCTGTTGGAAGGTGTCCGTTCTGCACTCTGAACCCCTCATTTCCTACAGCTAATGAAGTAGAAATCCTACCTCACTCGACACATCTTTCCTCTTGTCTAATTATCCTGTAATTATTAACTTCGTACTGTTACTTCACAGAAAAAGATTTTCAAGTCTGTGCAGATCTGCAGCTCTCCTCTACCTCCGTATTTAAAACACCTAGGCTGAGTTTTTCCACACGTGACAGAATTTGTGTTAGTGAAAATCCTTTTTTGTTGTGTTTGTGTAAATCTGGTAATCTCTCCCAATCTGGAATTCATTACAGTGAGGAAAGGAAAGGACGGAATTTTGTTTCTGAACATGCTGAATTTGGATCTTTTCAAGAATCTGACTGCAGAAGAATGGTACCGAACCCCCAGAGCAGAGGCAGGCGGGAATCACAACATCATTTATGTATAAATATACCATTTATATATATAAATATGAATATAATATCAATATATATATATATTCAGGCACAGCCTGGATGGTTTCAGAGGGAAAATCAGAATTTCCCCTAAACAAGCCTGCCTTTTTTGTGTGTACTTGCATGTTTTATTGATCCTCCTCCTCTCTGGTCAGCTGTCGTCCATGGGTAGCAGAGTTTTATTCCTGCCTTTTTCCCCTAGCACAGATGAAGGCAAACAGGTCTGAGCATTACAAAGAAAGAGGCAAGCAATCCTGCCTGAACCAAACAGCGATACCCTTGATACTCTTGTAAAAGCCTAACACTTTGTCATCCCTTTCTTTTTTTGCCCTAATAAAGGAGTGATAATTTTCAAATCCATTTTCAGATCTCTTTAACAACAGCCCCTATAAATCTCACAGTAACTCAACGTGTAACTTTAGACTAAGCTTGATGTGTGCTTTGATGATAATACACACATATTAAAGCCATAAATCCCTCAGATTTACTTTTTAATCCAAAATAACGTGACATAAAGTGTAACTACTGTGGCACAGAGTAGATTTTACGGTTTGTGATCAGAGGATGTTCTTCATAATAAAGCAAAACCCAAGCCAACCACCAGCACCCCCAGGACAGACAGGATGAAACCCAGCAGCCATTAATGCGACGGGACAACCACGAACAGCCGTGAGGATGAGCTGTAAGGGACTGTGGTACCCGAGGCAGACACCACAAGGGATTTAAGGACCTGAAGCCAACCCAAGGGGATGTGCTCACCCCCTGGCATCCCCTGCTGCTCCCTGTGCTGTCAGCACCACTGCCGTGCACTGCCTTGAGCTGGGAATCAGGGCAATTTGCCGCAACAGGTTTGTTCACATCGAGACAGAGCCGGGGCAGTGTTTTTTCAGGAAAGGGATTAGATGACTGCAGCTGGTACCACCTGTACTCCTGCGTGTTCAGGCGGCGAGAAGGGTAATCACCGCACTGCAGGGCACGAGCTGCAGGGGTCAGGGAGATAATCTCACTGCCAGCCGCCCGGCTTTGGGCTGGCTCAGCGTGTAGCAGAGGATGTCAGGCTTCCCTGCAGCACCGGGTTTTCACCGCCGCCAGAGGCAGCTTTACAGAGCTGATATCAAAACCTGCTCATCCAAACTCCCAAATACACTCCCCAGCCCAAAGTTTGAAGGCTACACACTCACTCTTCCCCCCTTTAAGGTCCACAAGCCCTTAAAGGTAAGGCACAGCCCATGGGTGCACCACAGAAGCAGTATCAGAAATTATTATTATTATACCAGTGACCTACAGACCACTGAAATCAGTGAGTTTTTAGGGATTTTTTGTTTGTTTGTTTGCCTTTAAGTAACAGACAGAAATCACAATATCTCGTGGTTCCACCTCGGGCAAATGCACAGAGACAAACTGAGCAGTGCTCCAACAGCTGCTGTTCACTTTCAGTCTCTATAACCCAAAACAGGTCCAAGGATTTCAGGCTCAGCTCCTCTATCTTTTGGGACCACCAGCACAACGTTTTTAGGCAACTCAGTGACAGAGGCATGAGGCCACTCTGACTGACACAGCCAAGAAAACATAGACACGCTGGTTTAGGAACAAAACAAACAAAAAAAAAAGAGTGAAAACAACTGGACTGTCAAATTCTGAGCAATAAATTCAATCTGTTCATACACCTGATAACTCAAGCATCTCCTCCAATTTTGCTTACTGGAATGCAACACTGCTGCTTTACCAAATGAAGGAGGAAGACTCCTTGCCTGCAGACGCCTGCTGTAGGACGGAGCATCCCCGCTGCCGAGGTCCCAGTGCACACCAAGCGAGTGGCAGCACTGCTTCGTGTTACAGAAACGTGGGCAGGCTCAACGTGGTTGAGTTCTTGGCTAAAATGCTGTCGCTTGGTGCACGCTGCCTCGCTGTAAGCATTGACAGCTCTTCAGAAATAACTGCCTGATCTTCGCAGCAAGTCAGGGAGACGGAAAAGCTGTCATTATTCATACTAATGAGACAAGAAATAGGCAGAAGAAGATAAATGACTGATCTAGAACCGTTCAGCAAGTTAGTACATAGCTAAAACCCAGTTCTTTTAACAAAAGCACCCATCCACTAATCCACTGCTGTCCCACTTCCAGGTCGGTGAGGTGATATTAACAACGGGATTTGTTCAATTATTTCACAGGCTGCACAGCGCAGTCTAGATTTATTTAAATATCAAAGCAAAATCTAGACAAAAACCCCCACCAAATGAATGTCATTTTCCCCTGCTTTGGTTCCCCTCCAAAGCCTGCAGCTCTAACATCAAAAAGCCCCAAGCTCCGGGCAAGAACTCCAGCTCCAGCTTTGTTGGCGCGGCGCCACTGCAAAGCCAACGGGGGCTGCAGCCCTCGTGCTCTGCCAAAAAAGCAGCGCCTGCCAGCAGTGACACCGAGCCTCTGCTTCAGGATCCTCACCCAGAATATCCAGCCCTGCCGTCGGATGCCTGCTGTCTGGGCCATGAAGCCTCACATCCCAACGAATCTCACAGAAGTTAACAGGAAGCTAATTGCCAGCAACGCCCAGGAGTCCCCTAAGTCACACACACGATGCACGGCTTCCCTTTGAATCCACAGAACTCAGGTTATGGATGTGAAGGAAGCAAAGAAAATACTGAGGAATTTAGACTTCAAAATAAAAAAAGCAGGAAAATTTCTAAACGATCAGAATTTATGAGCAAAATTTGTTTTAAGAATTTTGTTCTAAAGAATGCCTCAATCTGGTAAGGCAGAGGGGAGGTGGGATTATTTCTGTAGCTGAGAAAAGACAACTCCAGAAAACTTTCCACTCTTCAAATTCCTTGCTCTCCTTGAGAGCAATGAAGCATCCCTTCCTTGACACGCCAGGTGCTGTCATTCTCTCTCTCACCTCTGTTTCCGAGTTCTTTATTGCAGGATACATCGCACTACTCACACATCAGCCTTGGTGGCTTCTACACTGCAACTTAAGCAGCTCTTGGTCTCTGACAAGGCTCTCCTATAGAACCGACACAACTTTCATCGTCAGCATCAACACTGCAGGAGGAGGAGACATTCCCCACCTCTTCTCCCCCAGCTGAAGCCTGGGCAAATGGCAAACGAGGCAGGAAGAGCTCTTCATAAACAGCCTGGCTGGCGTGTATCAGGCCACCGGTTAGCAAGATACGGTTGTCTCTGCTCTGGAGTTCCCAGGGGTGCAGGAATAGGTGCCCATTCTTGTAAGGCAGCTTCTTTCCCCTGCAGCACCGTGCTCTTGCCAACTGCGCGCCGCCCCAGCAGCCAGACCGCAGCTCCCCGCTCCCTGCTGCCAGATAACGCGTCCAGAATCCGCTGCCAGCCGGGGGTGGGATGCAGCACCGCTGCTTCGAGGATCAACACCCAGGATCCAGCCTACATAAGCTGCTTACGGGATTTACTGGACTCCTGACAGTCGGTATCACACAGCCAGAACGCCGAATGTCAAGTGCTGGAGATCCAGCCCTGACAAAATCCGGTTCAGGCAAAAGGCCCACGATTACCCCTCTGCAAGGGATGTCGTTTACAGGACGCGACCGGCTGCGAAGAGAATGCTGCAATTACCACGCTGGGGAACGCTAATTGACTTACAGCAAGCAATGCGTGACGGAAAGGGGGAAAGTCTCACCAGCAGCACGGCTAGCTACGGTAACTGCGGATCGCCTGGAAGAGCAAAAGAGCAGTGATCCATGAATCAGCGAGCCTTGCTGTAACAAACAGGACAACTCCCTTCGTCCACCCCACGGCGTGGCCGTCAGCAATGACTTCTGGCATCCACTTGCAGGTCCGTGCTGAGGTGAGGACGCGCTTTCCCTGCTCTCCTTCACCTGCCTGCTGCGCCCGCTCTCGGAGGCGAGGGAGGACTTTGTTCTCCGTCATCGTAAACTTTATGGTGTGGGGTTTTTTTGTGCTTTTCCTAAAATCTCACTGAGAGGCAGCGCTCAGACGGGAAGCTCATTTCTTAGTTAAGCAGGGAGGTTGGAAACTCTAACCTTAGCGGTTCGAACCCAGCCTGCGAAACAGCAATCTCAGCACTTAACATTTGCTTATTTTAAACAAAAACATGTTTATGGAGGGAGGGAGGCTTGACTCACTCCCTGAGCACCTGGGATCACCAGTCCCGCATTAGGAAGGAGGCTGCAGTGCACAATCTCCCTGATCCCTGCGTGGTGCCGGGCTCTGCCCGTGTTACCCCTGACGGATGGGAAGCCGTAGGGACAGATTTTCCTGACGGTGCCCTCAGGACTGAACCAGACGAGCCTCACACACCCGCTCTAGCCCCACAAACCGTGTTCACCTGGCTCTGGGCACCGAGCTGCCCAACGCACCCACAGGCCTGGCGCGTGTGGTGCCACCCCGAGCTGGTGGTGCCCGCACAGAAACTCACCAACACCCCTCTGTAAGCACCAAGCACGCCCCATGACAGCCTCCACAGCCACCTGCCAACATGGAGCGGCCACATTTCACCGTGCTTTTATCTCCTAGGGGCAGCCCGAAGCATTTCTAGCCCTCACGGGGAGCCAAAGCCGGCTGCCCCCCAGCCGCGCCACACCCCTCAGCCCTCAGCCCGCCGCCCTCAGGGGGCTCCGCGCCCGCACCGCGCCGCTCTCTGCCGGGCTCCTTCCCCTTCTCCCCCGCCACCACCGCCACCAGCAGCCGTCCCGGGGCACTCACCCGCTCCCCAGCCACCTCCGTGCCGGTGCTGGTGCCGGTGGAGGCCGGGCAGGAGGCGGGCTGCCCTCACGGAGGTGGGGCCGGGGCGGGGAGCCAGCGCCTCTGACACCCCCGCGCCCGCCCCGGGGCGGCCCTCACGGAGCTGTGGTGCTACGAGACAGCGTGCGCAGTTGGGCAAAAAGGGACTTTTATGGGTTTCAACTCGCTTTTTCTAGGGTTTCAACCCCTTCTTACTTTTCCCTGTACTCCTGCGCAGGCTGACTGTTGGGAATGGACACGGCAGTTCACGTTGTTTTGACTGAGGGTTAATTAACCGGGGCGATCCAGCATGCTGATGAGGAAAGTGCAGGGATCTGCTCGCACGCTGCCCTGTGATTGAATTCACCCCCCAGGCACGGGCTTTATCTCAACAGATCTCACAAAGATCCCTTTGACTCACGGGGAAATGGCTGTGCTGCGGTGTTTGCCTTCGTCTGCCTGCCCTCCCCAGCACAAACTGACCTGGACTCCCTCTTCCTCCTCCTCCTCCTCCTCCTCATCTTCCTCCCTGACAGAGCCATCACTCCTCAGCCCATGCCCAGTACCTCAGCCAGCATGAGGAGGCAACATTCGGCCTACACAATGAAAGTTTTATGTCCATAAAGTCATTTTGACCCATAAATAATTGACTGTGGCGCTCCAAATTGTAGCAGACTGATTTCCACGTCAGCTAGGACACTGCTCTGTCCCTATTCAGCACCCTGGGTTGATCAGCATGATTACATACTAATCTGTTTAATTGCTGCATTTATAAACATATCGCTGCTCAGTGGCATTTGCCTTGCTCTTGGTGATCAGCATTTGGCCGACACGGCCTCCTTGTACGCGGCCCCCTCACAGGCCCTGAGCAGAAGCAGCACGAGCAGACGTAAATAATGGTACAAATCCACATCGTCCTCATTAGAAACCTATTCACCAACAAACTCAGCACAATCCCTTTCAGTAGACATTCTGGATTGCCATACATTTGCATTGCTGAGTGGAAAAGGAGGTAATTGAGAAAATAAGCAGTTTATGAAGCTCCCAAGCATAACTTCAGGGAGGTGACAAGCAGGCAGGAACTTTTAAAATCCCTTACACTGTATATAAAGTGTGCGTAATGTTTCTATAAAAATGGAAATGTATGCAAAGGGTAAGTGGAAGAGTCACCCTGTCACCCTGCAGGCTACTGAAAAAGAATAGGAAGAAGACTTCCACAGAGACGTCGTAGAGAAGATGCAATTATAAAAAAATAAAAATAATATCCTGCCTTCATTTCCCTCCCATTTCATTTAGGGGAAAGGCTAAAATCCTGTCAGCATCCTCAACGTGTGGCCCCGTTGAGCTGCCAGGCGTGGAGAGCCGCTGTAGGTACTGTCACACAACACGCACACTGCAAAGTTTAGTTCAGTTTTATTTTTCCACTGTAACGGTTTTCAAATGATACATCATGCAGTCTGCCAGTGTATCCATCCATTTCTGATAGAATTTTAGAACGAAGATAAAATACTTATCTCCATGGGATGGGGGAAGAAGGGTTCAGATCTGCTACCAAGAGTTTAATACATTTCAGCATTGCTCGATGCAATGGCAAAAAAATTTCCCCTTGTTACCAGCAAAACGTGTCCACACTTTATTTTTTCCTAAAATGAACACTACTGTAAAGATACATAGAGCCCAGAGAATACACATCTGCAGTACACGTTACACACTTTACAAACTAGACATGTATAATTCTACAGAATGCCTCAACCCCTGCGGTTCTCCCACCACGAAACGTGGTTCAAATGGACAAGATTGTGAGAGCGAGAGACGAAGGCGTGCAGCGGTGTTCGTCCAGGACGGCAGACCTCGTCCAGTGCACTTCAGTTCATACAGGCACAGCAAAGACGAAAATCAAAGCAAGGGTAGAATCAGATTATCCTGCCCATTTAGATTTTAATTCCTTTAATATCCAGCTGATACACTGCCATCATGTTTACATGAGGTCTTCCTCCTCCAGTAATAGAAAGTCGATTAGGCCTCTTCCTTTTGGATATCCATGAGCAATTGGTTTAAGTATACTTTTACCCAAATGAAACAATGTTAAAATTATTTATTTCACCTCCAATCCTTGTTTATCAAAATTTCAGGCAAATGTGTACTTTGATCTATATGGCTTTCTAAAATTATATTTAAAAGTTACTCATATAGTCTGTTGGCAGAAATCACCATTTTTTGACTTATTTAAAAAAAAAAAAAACACTTTCAATATTTTCAGGATAATCCAATTTCACCCTTGCTGAGTAAAATACAAACTTAAAATGTGTCAGCCAAGATCCTCCTAGGTTTAACTTTCCTTGCTTTTGAGAAAACAAGTCAATGAAACATGAATTCAAGGACAAACACAAGATATTTGAACATATCATTAAGAGGTGATAAGGAAGTAGTTTTTTATTACTAGCAAAAAGAACAATATGCATTTTAGTTTCATCTGAAGTACGTTTTCCATTTGTGAACAGTGTCTCCACCAAAATTTGTCCCATGCACAACAAATTTAATTTGCGCTATATAAATCACAACTTTAAAATTAGCCTAAGAATAAATATAACACAACATTCAAAGAGCAAAGAAAGATAGCATCAGGTAGTGGGAATAGCAAAAGACAGGGTTTGATCTCTGCAGAGCAGATGTGTGGTTTTCATTTCTATGTATAAAATGTGTAAGACTTAAAAATGGTACAAAAGTTGAATATACAGTAAGCAATACAAACTTAAATTGCCTAATTAAAATAGGCGTACAAAACAAGAATCCAGAAGCAAAATAAGTTCAATTGACCGATGTAGTATTTTCCAATTGAGTAAGTGTCTTAGGTATTTCTTTTTGAGGATTTAACCTAATGCATCTCGTCGTCATTTCAGTTTTAGAAAGTCCTCTTACAGCCTTGATGCAGAAGTTAACTTGGAGAAACTCACTTTATTTTAGCTAGGTGAACTGACTGGCTGATCAGCACTAGCGCAATTAAGAGATGTCAAAGCTAACTTATTCCTCAAGCTGAAGAAAGCTGTCTAAACTGTCACATGTAACTAATGATGATGGTGCGAGGAACTTATGAAATTTTTTAAGCTAATGCTGCATTTAAATGCAATTCCTTCATAAACTTTGAAGTCAAGACAGAGCAGAAGCTATACTACAATACAAAATATTTGACAGCAATTAAGAATTTGGTATTCTTTTTTTTTTTTTTCTTAAGACAACTGCTTTAGAACCAAAACAAGAGGATAATGAGTTCATAGTAGAAATTTCAGCTCTGAACAGCTGATAAGATAGCACAGAGTAGCTCTGAATTAGTCATTTTATTAAAGATTGCATATGGCAAGTTCACAGTTCATTTTCCTGGCAGTGCACATGCACATAAAGAAAATATAAAACTTTGAAAAATACAAAATAAATTAAATACATGCAAATTTGCAACTTCATTAAATATTTTAGCAAAATGCTCCCCGACATAGTGCAACATTAAAAAAAAAAAAGTTAAATTAAGTCCAACTTACTTTGCAAGAACCTAAATAACTTCAGTAGAAAAAAAAAAAACTAAAGTCAATTCACAATCTTTCAAAAAGGCTCTACATTACCTAAATAGTTTTATGTCTAATAACATGAACACATTCAGAAATTAAAAAAAATATATATAAGTCTCAAATTAAGTAAGAGCAAATGTCTGCAAAAGAAGACTAGAGGGCTATGCTCGGCTGTAACCTTCCTAAAAGCCACGCTTCCTTAAGAGCTCGGGTTGGCTACCGTGCATTTGGAGGATGAGGATATGTGTGGCAGAAGCAGTAGGCACGGAGGAGAAGCAATAGCTTCTACCTGCTGGCTGAGCTTTCCCTGAAGGATTCCAGTGCCCCCTTGCTGAGAAGGTGGAAACTTTCTGTCTGGCACCAGAGAGGTCCAGGGAAGGCAGGTGGTCTCATCCTTAGCTCGGTGAGCACTGGTGTCCTGTCTGTAGGATGGCTTGCACGTTGCAACGAGGCAATACACGAGCAGGAAATACATTCTCTTCCCCTTGCAATACGCTCTTCATCTCCTAACACATCTAACTCCCAAATTTGGTCTGCAAAGGACAGCTTGAGTACGTAACCCTCACCTCCTTTTGGACCCTCTCTGTATAATATCTTTTCTAAGGCAGGGCCTGGGGCTTTGAGGGGATTTTTTGTTTCTTTAAGGTAGCGTCTGTTCCGGCAGGGGGCTGCTCGCTGCCGCCTCTGAATTCCGGTGTGAGCAGATCGGGGCTTGCCGAAGGCATGTGGGAAGGGGAGCGGGGGATGCTTGTCGGCTTTCCCGAGACAAGGCTTCTGCAGCATTCTGAAAGCTTTCAAAATCTCCGAGAGAACAACGCTTACGAACACATGGCTAGCCATCACACTCCAGGAAAACCCACCACCGTAGGGAGAACTACAAGCAGATCAGATCTTAAATTTAAGATAGGTCACACAGATATATTCATGTCACTACCACACTTCAAAAACCTAGACCTATACTAACAGATTTCTCTGCATCCCGTTTGATCTTTACCAGGTACTGCAATAAAGGTTATTTTGTACAGTCCAAAGATTTTTTTTTTATCAGGATATTACAAATGGTTCTTTGGGGAAATTTACTTCCAAAAATGTAAGCAGTAAAATTAAACCATATAGCAGCACATTTTCATCCCCTAAAAATATAAAATAATATGTATATTATACAGTAAATCAGTCATGACTGAGCACAATCACCTGCCTTTGATGGCACTTGGTCACTGAATAATTAATTCTTTGATGCCAGGAGTTGGGATTTACTGATGCAAGAGAGGACTTCGAGAAGCATCGATCTGAGTGGAGAGGCCCCAACCTAACCAGCGCCAAGGGGTCAAACGCAGTCAGTGAGCGATTCTGAGTGGCAGACTTCCTATCCTTACTTAGATGGTTATGTTAAATACATTGTACAAGTATCTGTAGAAGAGTTGAGCCGAACACTTCTGTACACGTGGAGATCCTACGAAGCTCAAAAATACCTAGGACCGGTGCATCGCAGATGGCTGTAGGAAGCGCAGGATGAACGGGACGTGGATCGGGTTGAAGAGGAGGGAAAAAAGAAACTAGTGACTTAATGACAGTCCTTAACATGCTAAGTGGAACTGACCTGTCAAA